TCGAGCAGATTGTAGCAATATAAGTTACGGCGATCAGAACGTAGGCGATGTGGATTCGGATTCGCATGTTCACTAATCCTGCGCTAGATAGTAGGATATACATTAGTAACAAATAACGAAATAAATGCGACAGAATGAAAACCCACGTCAATCGAGAGTAGAAAATGGCCATGCATGTTTTCAGCAACCATAACAACAGAGTGTATAATGACCACCCAGCCACCTGGACCTTGGAGCCACCCACACGCAGACGATACTCTTCCGAATCAGGCGACAATTGTTTTCGTTGTTCATCCGTCATCGAGTTATTGGCAAGGCCCATGAACCACGCGCCGACCATGTACGCAGCACCGGTTTCCAGCCCATACACCACCTATACCCCTATTGATTAGCAGGATGAAAGCAAAGAGACCACAGGTTTCAATTCAACTCACACATGCTACTATCATTAGATAATCATCAGCTTGGAAACCTTTTGGGCCAACCATAATCCATCTTGCCGTCGTTCGTAGGCCAATGATGGCAATTGCTACCCCCAATAAAGTAAACGCTTCGGTATTAAATCCCTCCATAGTTGACGAGTTGCGGTAATATATCTGTGGTATATGCCATTAAAGCCAAAGGGGGAAAAAACCATTCAACCCAGGGTGTGCATTCAGATAAAAGGAAGAGAAAGTCAATTGCACCGAGGAGGGGGGAACAAGCGGCAGAAGGCAGTATCTCAATGATCTCCCTTGGTCTTGGTCGTTGCTATTGGAATCAGACCGGATAAAGAACCAAGCCCGCTCCTTAGTCGACTTATCAACACCAACGAAGAAAAGAAAAAGCAAGGACAGGATCGATCTCAAATGCCTGTTTGCCGTGTCTACTTACATATTGTGGCTCACATTAGTTACGGGGTAGCTAAACCGCAAGCCCCATCTATTATGGAGATACTTCCACACGTGAAGAAAATTTATGACAGGTTCCGGGTTCCTCATGCAAGAATGGCGACATCCACATGTCTCATTGGACAGCGATAGTCTATCATTGGCGCTGGATACGGGCTATGGGTCCTTCAACGTGCCGGGGAGGAGTTTAAGGTCAAGAAGGCCGTTTGTTCCGCTCCCAGATTACTGGTCCCTGGAAATGTAAACCGGGAGTCAAAAGGTCCACATATCCCCTGAGTCCTTATGACATTCCCCATTGGGCGAATGATCGGAGTGAAGAGCAAGTTTTTGATCCAATACGGAGTACCCTGATAGAACTCACTTTGTCTAACCTGAGGTTTATTTCGGTTACACACAAGTACGACACCCAGGCACAATATTAACTCGGCCAATTTTGAGAAGCAGCAATAAACCGCAATGCCAGCGTGGATGTCCTGCGATCTATGACGCGCAAACGGGCCATCTCAAAGACAGACTTACGGAGTAGTGCAGTTGCATAAAGCTTGCGTGTTTGGGCCAATTATGGGGAACAAGCCATACAATGCGGTAGCAGGGGCAGGTATGTATCAATTCCTCTGATCCACATTCCGTTTTGGGTTGGTTTGATTGCTGATCAGGCCGGGCATTACTCCGAGGATATGTAGGTAACAGAACGTTTGGGACTAGCTATCGGAGGATCAGGCTAGTCGTATTATTATCAATAACCGATCGATGCCGTTTTTTAGGTAACGCGCCAAACGAGTCCAAGAGATATCATAAGTACTGAATTAGGCCGCGGGTTCCGGTCCGGATTAGGGGGTTGACGGCTTCCATTTACCCTATCAACCTTGACCTTGTGCAAAGCCCCCTCAAAAAACGTGCCATGTTTCATGTCAAAGGTCAAACTTTGTTCATGACAGCGGTAAATTCGCACTGCCAACGACTTGGTGGATCCAAAAAAAGCGGGCCATTTACGAAGATGTAACGGGTAGTTCGGTTCTCCTCAATTTTCTAAGCCGCGGCAATAATTGTGAGCCTTGTACAATGTTGTATTTGTGTCAAATAATTTGCATGAGATCAATCAGTTTCATTGGACAGTGTCCAATAGTCGGATTGAGATACAAACTAAAGAATGGCAACCTGCATATTGTTGGTCCCGACTTTTGTTTTCCTTGTTTATCCCAAAATTAGTAAATCCAAACGCCAGCCACGCTGTTTCCACAGTAAAAAGTATCTAAAATAACAGTGGAGTATTGTTTACACCTCGCTATCCGCCTGTCCATATAAACGATAAGATGAAATAGCTAAGATTAGAAGAACTACTGACGATCCCGGGCCTGGCCACGCTTTGATGCAAAGCTAAAATGGTTCAAACGACGGAGCGAAGCTAAAAAAAAATTATTCGGTGCTGATTCGAATTCTCTAGAAAAGCCCCTGGTGACACTGAAGAGTCTACTCCGTACTCCGTGGAGTACAAAGTGAGTGCATGCCAAGTAGTAGTCTGTTACCCAGATAGGTCAAGGGGTTTAGGCCTGGGGCCACGGGTAGTTCGTGCGAGCCATAATAATACCATTAAAGAGTCATCTGCAAAGTGCTCCGTTAAGGTATCTAATCTTCTTTTAAATGTCTCAGGTCCTGCAATGTTTTTTCCATGATGTCTGTCTCGGGAAATATACAATGCTGAACTTTACTAAAACTGTCCAAAAGTGAGCGGTTTAAGCTAATTTAATAGTCCCACCATTCCATCCTCCCGGGTAACCTGCAACAGCAAGGGCTAAAATTAAAAAGCCAAAAAATTACAAGTACTCGACGCTAATACTTTTAGTTGTCACTCATTCCTTCATTTCCTGTAATCTGGACTTGTGTTTGTTTGCTTGTACATAAATTCGTGCATTAATCCTGGTCGCGCAATCGGTTATTTTCTACCCCTCCAAGAAAAGAAAAGAAAGACGAAAGCAAGGGACTCTTCAAAAATGGAGTCCGTGGATCTTGTGGTGGTAGGCGCAGGTAAGTCAAGTCTTCACCGTCGCAAGCTATTTCACTGACATTGGCTACCAATAGGTTGGAGCGGGCTCTCCGCCGTCAAGACCTACCGCGAGGTCAATCCCGGTCACAATGTGCTCTTACTGGAAGCTGCTAGCTCTATTGGCGGGGTATGGGCCAAGCACCGTTTGTACAAAGGCCTCAAGTCGAACAACATGCTGGGCACGTATGAGTATAGCGACTTCCCTATGGACGAAGCGACTTTTGGTATCAAGCCTGGACAACATATTCCGGGGCATGTAATTCAAAAGTACATGGAGGCATATGTGCAATGCTTTGGCTTTTCCGATTGTATTCGCCTGGAACACCATGTGGAAAGCGCGCGACACACCTCGGGCGGAACATGGCAGTTGACCGTGTCGCACGGAGCGGATACGACAACAATCGACACCAAGAAGATGATTGTGGCAACCGGTATCACATCACAGGCATATCTGCCTACATTCAAGGGAGAGGAGTCTTTTGGTGCTCCACTTTTCCACTGTCGCGATCTGCTACAGCATCAAGGTGCAGTGCTGCAGTCAGGGGAGCGCGCAACCGTTTTTGGCGGCACCAAGTCGGCCTGGGATGCGGCTTATGCCTGCGCAACGGCAGGTATGAAAGTAGACTGGATCATTCGTGAGTCCGGTCATGGACCTGTTTGGATGGCCCCTCCCTATGTGACGCCCTTGAAAAAGTGGCTGGAAAAGCTGGTCACGACACGCCTGCTGACCTGGTTCAGTCCATGTATCTGGGGAGAAGCTGACGGGTATTCTGGTATTCGCAGCTTCTTGCATGGTACCTGGCTGGGTCGTAAGATTGTGGACGCGTTCTGGGCTATTCTAGCCGATGATGTCGTGCAGTTGAATGAGTACGACAAGCACCCAGAAACGAAGAAGCTGAAGCCTTGGGTGAGCCCATTCTGGATCGCTTCCTCGCTCAGCATTCTGAATTATCCGACCAATTTCTTCGATTTGGTCAAGGATGGCACTATCAAAGTGCACGTCGCTGATCTGGAGCGTCTCTCGGATCACACTGTTCATCTGTCCTCGGGCGAGGCACTGCCATCTTCAGCACTTATCTGCTCCACAGGTTGGCGTTGCACTCCCAACCTTAAGTTCCTGCCAGAAGGCATTGACCGGGTGTTGGGATTCCCTTGGAGTATGGATCCGCTAAACGAAAACATGGTGAAAGAGGCGGACGAAGAGATCTTGCGCCGGTTCCCCCGGCTGCGTGATCAACCAAAGCCGAACCCCAACTACACCCCGTTGAACGAGCAGTCCGAGGCGGCTGTGCCGCACCCCTTCCGGCTGGCGAAGTTTATGGTACCACTTTCGCTGGTAAATGAACGCTCTCTAGCATTCATGGGTATCACCATGACCATCAACACCACCCTAATTGCTCAGACCCAAGCACTGTGGATTTCAGCCTATTTCAAGGGCGATCTGACCCCAACTACGCGGGAAATCTGCCCACTGGCTGTGCGTGCTGCGTCTGACCTCAAGACGGAAGACGTATCAGAAATCGATCTTGCCTGGGAGACAGCTCTCTTTACCGAATTTGGCAAATATCGTTACCCAGGAGGATTCGGGCGGCGGAATCCTGACTTCGTGTTTGACGCCATTCCATATGTTGATCTAATGCTCGGAGAACTGGGTCTGTCACCACAGCGTAAGCATGGCTTGCTAGCCCGGTGCTTCCAGCCATATGGTGTTGAGGATTACCGAGGTTTGGTCGAAGAATGGAAGTCTAAGCAAAGTACCCAGTAATGTTTCGGGGATCGTTTCCTTTCGTCTCATGTTGTCTGATATATTTGTCTTCCCTTTTCCGTTCGCGCGTCGCCCGAGTATCTCCGTTAGACTCCCATCTCTTCTACGAAAGTTGGGGGAACTATTAAAGCCAATATAATGGTGGTTTTTCTATACACTATATGTGAGCATATTATATGAACAAACATATTACTACTTCCTTTGATAATGCTCGTCTTCGGCATCATCTATTCCACCATAACGAATTGCTCCAAGACTGCAACACCAACGAGAGAATAACATGATTGTTCGACACGTTCTCTCATTTCTTTTTCGGGGCCAGTACGGTCTCTTGTGGTCGCCGGCTCTCAGACTCAGTTACCTCGCCAACCATGTCCCCCGTCCATCTCATATAATCTTTCCCATTCCCAGCGACCACAATTCTCGCCGACACATTAACTTTCAACTGATCACTTCCCTCTCCAAGGTCATATTCCAATCGGAATCCTTCCGGTAAATCGCCCACGCGTGGCGGATATCGCCCAGCAGTAGTCCCAGGACTACCGATCAGCCTCACGGCGAGAATATAGGGGTCACAGGCTGACACAATCACCTCCCCATCTTTGGCAACGTAACTGCTCACATATGTGGCGTTGGTTGGGTCATCAATGGCGAGGGAACTGAACCATACAATCGAGTATGGCCCTAGACGGCCGTGGCCCCAGTACCAGCTGTGGACGGAATCAACAAACGGTTGATCAGACCAATTCTATGACTTGGTCAGCTCTCAATTCTCTTGTCCAGGTGCCCGGAGGTCAAATCTTACTTTGTCATGGTACCCAGGCCCTCGGAACTTCAGCGTCGATCCATGGATCTTCATGTCGACCTCACCCACAGCATCGGGTATCAAATTGACCCATCCGATATGAGGTGCAATCTCAAGTACAGTCTGCTCCTCTTGAACTCCACAGGGCAGATGACGCGGTACTTGCTGTTTGGTAAAGTTAGTAAGCTTTCTATTCCTACTATTTGAATTACTACTTACCGAAGTCAGTGTAAGCCGGCCTTCAACCTGGAGCTTCTGAGATGCGATGATAATCTCATACTGGGATAGATCTTCTGTGAGAGCAGCCCAGCTAAAGCCCGTGGAGGACCACTCGCCAGAGCTATTAGTTCCCGCGCCGTCTGCACCAGTCACAGTTGCCACAGTTGCCGGGACAGAGTCGGCAAAGATTGTTCCATTGGCAAACGAAGCCCATAACCAAACGTTGAGCACGGAGGTTTCATTCGCGTCGAGGAATGGAAATGCTTCCGCGGATGAGGAGAAGAATGTGACGACTAGGGAATCATCTGGGTTGGTCTCCGAGACGGCATCGAAATACCACCAGTCGAACACGGAGCCATTGATTGAATCTATCTGAGGTGCATCTAGACGGAAGAGGGTCTCTATATCAAGAGTGATTGTTGGTGTTGGGATCTCAAACTGAGCTTTGCTAGTTCCGTTTTGTACAGCACTGGGGATCTTGTAACTTCCGCTACTAGTGTCCCTGCTAGCACGGAGGGAATATGGCAAGGATTTCTCGTGGGTCCTGTGCTGACTAGGAAATGCTAGAGCCTGTTGTGCTAGCAGAGCATATATCAAGAGCAGTGGAAGCATGATGGAATAGATCTAGAAAATGCTACTTAATGATAAGTGTCGACGGTGAAAGCATGCGGTGCGTCCACTATAGATTAGAATGAATGGGCAGAAGAGAAAAATGAAGTAGGATATATCTGACTTGCATAAGGTGCCAGGATGCAGCTGAGCCGACCCCATGGGGGCTTCGGTCACCGAACAGATATATAACAAAAGAGGGGGACGAACCAGGATCCTACAGAGAATTGAATCAAAGTATAATTTTTATAGTTTCCATCCTAGATCAAAGAGAGATGGCGATCATCTACTTGTACGGAGGCTCGTTCCTTGGTTTCGTGATGGTCCAACACATTGATACCTATTTAGTATTACAATGGAGGATCTATGAAATTTTTCCCGAGAACACAAAAATAGGAGGTCATAAGATCCATCCCAATAGATGGAAACTTACCTAAATACTCGGATTCGCCGATTACCCGTTGTCTAATTAGAATAAGACAGCCATGTGGCTACCTAGTGAGTGGCTGAGATGGGGTTCAGCCAAATCAGCCATCGATCTGACGAACACCCCCATATCAAGCGTCAATAGGTAGATAAGTAGCCAATAATTGTGGAGTAACAAAATGTGGCTTGGAAGCTGTTTTAGTACAGAAATTAAGACGATTAATGTACTTCGTACTTCGATCGCAGTTTCTCGGAATATGTTCCATATCATAATTGAAGGGGTGTTTATATACCGACGTTGCCCATCCCATTAACAGTTCGCTTAATCGCTTTAAATCACAGAGAAGCAGGATAGGTACACACGTCACACATGAGTCCGATAAGCACATATAGTAAACATAAATCCGGATAGGGAAAAAAATTGAAGTAAAAAAGCAGAGATCAGACCTTCCCATGATGCCCAAATCACAAACCCTTCGCCAAAGCTCCAAAAAAAATAATATAAATCAAAGTAAAATCCGATAGGAACCCCGACTCCCAATGCCTCGGTAGATACATACAATGTCTTCAAACTTCACCCCTATAAATATGTGGATGAACGTTCGGGAGTTACGTCGCAAGGACGGAAAGTGTCACAAGCGGAAAGACCGGGACACAGCTCAAACTCGTCCATTGAGGATGGGGCTGCCGTCTTCACTCCGGCCTTCACCCTTGATATCAGCCCCAGTTTGGTTGCTGTTCGCGTCCGAATCGCCGTCCTTTCCGCAGCCTTTCACAAGGATATGTCGCTATCCGCAAAAGTCAGTATATGGAAATTGTCACATAATGGTCGTAGACACATACCTTAAGAGCATCCTTGCGCGAGAAGCTCTTGTCACAGTGCGAGCAGGGGAAAGGCTTCACGGCTAAATGAATACGTTTGTGACGCTTGAGATCGTGATTGCGGTTGAAACTCTGGGGGCATTGGTCGCATTTGAAAGGTCGGTCCGCTGCGGGGGCGGACATGCCGTGCGGTGGCGGATGGCCCCCGTATAAATGTTGAGAGCTGGCGACATGTCCACTATTGAATCCCGGTAGAAGCCCGGGTTGCATTCCACCCATCATCGACATGGGCCCACCGGGGCTGTGTACGTTGGTCATGACGGGACCGTTCATCGCTGGGAGAGAATATGAGGGCCACGGCTGGCGGGGATATCCCAACGGTGGTTGTCCAGCTGATGGACTATGAACAGGCATTCGGCCTGGAGGGTGGATGCCAAGCCCTGCGGGGCCATACATGGGAGAGAAGCCGGCCTGGTGGGGACTGTGCATGGGAGGAGAAGCGGCATACATATGCTGGTGTTTGGGGGCATATGGATCGTTGGAGGGTAGTGGAGCTGGGGATGTAGCGGGTCCCCCATGGTACATAGCCATGGCAGGTTGTGAGGCGGAGGGAGGCATGGATGATGGGGCGGGTAAAGCTTGGTAAGATAATGTCGAGCCTTCATATGGGTGCGGCAACCCATCCGTCGTCGGCGGTGATATTACGGATGAGCGCTGCATACCGGATGGCGAAAAGGAACTGCGGGCTGAGTATTGATTTACCCCGGATCCCCAGGACTGTCCGTATGGATTGGCCCCTGACCAATATGCCGGTGGTAGCTCGGAGGACGCGCCTGTTGATGGCGCCAAGGGTTGGGGTGTGGCGTGCTCCCCTGTTTGAATTGTGGCGGGTGGCGTTAGTAGGTTTCCCACGCTCACATTCACTGGCGCGTGGGAGACTGGGGGGTGGGCGGGATGTCCGTACTTGGGTGCTGCCGGGGCCGCACCCAACGTGAACGGTGGTGGTGGGAGCTCAAAGCTGGGTAATGTCGGGGCCGCTGGACGACGAATGTTCAACGGCGGGGCTGACAGCGCGTCTAACGCTGTCCCCATTCCCGCCGGCACTGCTAGGGTCGCCAGATTGGCGGATGGATCCCTCACACCTACGTAGAAATCGGGATCGTTGACGTTGGTGAGTTGACCGAAAGAGGATCCGCTCAAAGCCCAATCTCGATCGCCAGGTACGCCCCCGGAAGGGCTGGTAGAATCCAGGAGGGGCGATCGTCGATCGCTGGGGCTCGCGATCGGAATATAGAGAGAGTCGAGAGACTCAGGTTCCGAGAAATAGGGGAATTTCTGGAAGGACTAGAGAACTCTCGAAAATATGAAACTAGCAAAAATAGCGAGAAAAAAAAAGAATAGGTGAAAGGTGAAGTTGTCACGGTCGACGAAAGCGCGTGTAGTACATGGTCTCGGGGGAAAAATGAGTAAGAAGTTGAAACACTAAGAAGTGAAGCTGGGAGGAAGAAAGATGTGGGGGGTGGGCAAAGGACCGTGGCGTTGGAGGCGATAGCAAGCGCGGGGGAGGTGTTATAATAAGAGAGAGTCAGGAGTTATAATATAAAGCAAAAAAAGTAAATAAGATTGATTTTTTCCTCTTCCGGGAATGGGGTCGACACGGGTCTAGCCACCGTGGGGAAAGGAATGGTATAATAAAACAAGAGTCACATATTAAAAGAACCGAGAAAGGGAAGGGAAAAAGGCGAAAAAGGGCGAAAAAGGCGAGAAACAGAGAGGGGTGTCAGCAGAGAACGTGGTTGACAGCTAAAGAAACAAGTCGCCCGGTTGGCTGTCCCGAATTGTTGACTTTATTAGGGGGATTAGGGGACTTTTTTTTCCTTTCATTTTGATATGGGACATATAAAAATATAAAACAGGTATATGAACTATTTGGTTTCTTATTTCCTTTGATGTACTCCATAACTTTCTGATATTAACTCTATGTATTCCGTATATTTAAAATAATAATAATAATAATAACATAATAACATAATAATAAGATACCTAAAGTATGTACCGAGTACACAGAGTGCCTATTCTATAGAACAGAGAAAGATAATAAAAAAACAGACCCTTCTTCCTCGAGGGGAATCCCTTGCGTCCGGACTGATCGCGTGAAAAAAAAAAAAATGAAATGAAAAAAAGGACGCTAGTGTAGGGACTCCGGAGAGAAACTGTGCTAGGAAGAATGGACCCGGCTATTATTGAGAGAAAAGAAAGAAATTTCCAAATTCTTTTTGGGCTTCCAAAAAAAGGAAATAATAGAAGGGGAAAAAAAGGAAATATCAGTAAAAATGGATCCATACTTTTTTTTTTCTACTATCACGGTAGGATTCCTGTCCAATAAGAAGACCAATATCTCAACGCACGGACAAGACCGGAATGGCCAGAATACGAGAAGACCGTAGAGAAGGCAGAGGGAAGCGAGCTGTCTCGTTGGTCATTCGTTAGTTAAAAGCATGATCGCGCAATTTAGTTAGTCTTCTTTCAAAATCATTTGATGCTTTTTTGTTCTTAGCATATTCCATTTTCCCTATGTTGTATAATATACAACCTACTTAGACCATAGGTATATTGTAGACCATACGACGGAGTACTACGGAGTACTCCGTACTTCCTAGAGACCTATAATCTATGTCTCTAATGGTCATCTGCACTTCCCTTTTTTTTCCTTTTTAGCCCCTCAATAGCCAAAGTAGAAGGTCGGTTTGATTGGTCCCCCGGGTTCACCGGCCATGGTAGCTCCTTTCGTGTCCTCTTTTCGCTTTTGTTACCTTCCAAGGTTGGCTCGGGCCTTAAAAGGTCAACTTCCAAGGTTAGCACTATACCCGTTATTCTCTCACTCCCCGAAAGCCAATCGCCTCCAGCATCCACTCCGTCGGGTTTCCCTACAATCTAAGTCTATTGTATCAACTTGGGTGGCGGAATGCCAATGAAATGGGTCTCAAGCACCCCACACGAGAACCTCGTCTCGGTATCTTATCCTCCAATCAATCAACGGAGACATCTCCTCCGTTGCCTTCTGCACGGACGTGGCAGATGCTTATGTAGGGCGAAAAGGGGGGAGGGAAGGGCATGCCCTGTCGATCGATGTTTATCACTGTAGTATGTACTACCCCGTACATAGCTAAACCAAATATAAAACTTGACAGAGCTGATCTGCCGCGAACTAACAATCACATGGGTTGAAGATATGTGCCGAATACTGGAGGCTGGTGACTCCATCTATACGTAGGATGCTCGGATAGCTGAAGCTCCTTGGCAGGCTTAGACATGTCTACTCCGTACTGGCGCATGGAATTTAATATTACGATCCGGTCCGCATTTCCCCCGTATTTGGTACTCCGTGGCAGGCTAGGCTTTAAACCTGCAGTGCTCTCAGAAAACAAAAAAAAAAGGAAGAAATAGGAGAGGAGGGGGATAGGAAAAAGAAAGAAAAGGGGGGCAAGTCTAAGACATACGAGAGGTAGGCGAGTCACATTCCTGAGAACTGCATACCTCTACCCTAGCTGTGTTCAGTACCAGATATGGCATTTCTCCAAAAATATGAATTGTACACTCTATACATTCTACGCAATATACTGACATTCACTAGACACCCTGATTTGTGTTGGATCCCGAAATAAAGTCGACAATTCGATAGCGCCCATATACCTCCGCGTCTGTAGCCGCACATCGCCTACCCCAAAAGGTCCATATCGGCGACGATCAGTTGATCATCAATCTATGGCCCCTCTCCTGTGCTGGATTCCCGGTTGATCGACCTCGCACAGCCTTTTCTAGATTGCAGGTGCAATCCCTGGACACTATGCTACGGTTCGCAGCCGATTAGTCGCTCCGCTCATGCAAGGCGGCTCCTACGGTCCAGATGTGACAGCGCGCAAGGATCCACCTGGCTGGCCTTGAACGCCTTAGTGACGCCTGCATCGGCTCTTGCCGGTGGTGGCTTCGGTGAGGCTCGCGGTTGGCGTTCACGATCGTCCTCGGGAATGGCGTTTCGTGGAAGGTTGACTATTTTTCTGACCCGGGAGATCTGCGGCCATGAGTTTTGTGCAGGGCCGATGGGCATGTCCCGGCCTTGGTGGATTTCCCGAGGTCAGAGCCCACATTCATTTTGTCATCTTTTTCCAACTTGGACCATTCTATATATCGATTATAATATGCTAATATATGGGGTCTCAAACCAAAAGATAATAGAACACGGATCTCTCCTTCTGTTCCAGGGTCTAGAATCATTTTTGTTCATCGGAAACTAAGTTAGAGCCTCTGTCTCGGCTTTTATATTTTTCTGAATTTTATTTTATATATATATATATATTTTGCCGCTCGATGAGAACAGCCCCACGGGCATCTTTCGGTCGCTGTACGATCCTCCCTTGCAGCAAGATTCTGGCTGTGGATCTACTTGCATTGTATATTGCCTCGAGTGGAAGAATTAGGAAGAGATGTCAACTTTCTCTCGTGCCGTGTCTATTTATCGTGAAAATTTAACCCATTTGATTTGCTGTCTTTATCGCCCTCGGGCTCTCATCAACTCATAAGCTAGGTGTCCGGTATGACAGTATCTGCAGTGAAAACCCTGGGTGCATAAATGAAATGGTCTCATCAAGGCCCGGTGATATTTGTGATACTTCTTCTCTTTGATTTACTGCGGGGAATAACATCAAATTCTGCGAGTCTTTCGCTACACAAGCTCACCAGTACCCCAGCTTTCCAAGCTTATTACCTAGATAGAAGGGATGATTCAAGTTCCATTGCACATCGTTTGTGCTACCTATTCGTCTCCTCGGGTTGATATATAAATGACATATAACCTCGGCTGTAGTCAACTATATATATATATCCTATGTAGAATACCCGATCGTGTCAAAAACCGATTAAACATACCAGATAGATCAGTTCTAGTAACTAGACCACCAAGAATCGAAAATAATTCAATAGAAGATATGCTTAATAGCCTTGAGATATCCTATCTATACCGGGTTGTATCTCCGAATTGCCGAGTATTGCTCCGATGACGTCGAACGGCGGGGTACAGCACTTTCAATGTTTTCCTCTTTGAATTTCGAGTTTCCTTTCTACCTCAGCTCCTTTATTCAACTTCGCTTTTGATTCGGAATTCAATTGCAGCTTGTATGTTTGTCTTTTAGTCCCGATTACTCCTAAATGAAATACAGGCCATTTCTGACCTTCCGAAGACCGTTGCCTGCAACCAAACACCACCTTAACACACCTCCCTTCCATTGCTTCTCTACAACCATGTCTGGAATTAGCAAAGCCTGCTGCTCGTTCGTGATCCCCAGAACCACCGAATTATGCGATATTCCAATTGTGCGTTGCTGACCATCACCGTGGGCAGAATCCCCCTGTTGTGTCCAAGGGTTATCAACCCAAGGGAGAATACAAGACCATCAATGGCCTGAAGACCTGTGAGTTATTACTTCCCACGAACTCTTACAAATTGAGCTAATGAGATCACTTCTAGACGTGACAGGCCCGGAATCAGCTACCAAGGCCATCCTGGTCATATTTGGTCAGTCACCCAACCTCCCCTACAAATAAATCGACAATTTACTGATGCAATTGCGAGATCTACAGACATCTTCGGCTTCTTCGACCAGACCGTCCAAGGTGCTGATATCCTTGCTACGTCGACCGACCAAAAATACCGCGTTTTCATACCCGACTTCTTCGAGGGTAGCCCCGCCGACATCTCGTGGTACCCCCCACCACCCAGGAGCACAAGGAGAAGCTGGGCCACTTCTTCTCAACTAAGGCTGCGCCACCCCAAACCCTTTCCAAGATCCCCAACGTCGTCGCCGAAGGCAACAAGCTAGCCCCTGGCGGTAACTTCGAATCTTGGTCGATCCTGGGCTACTGCTGGGGCGGCAAGATCGCTTGCCTGTCCTCTGGGGCCGATAACAAGCTATTCAAGGCCGCTGTGCAGTGCCACCCGGCTATGGTCGATGCCAATGATGCAAAGGCCGTGAACATCCCCATGGCGTTGCTCGCCTCAAAAGACGAGCCTGCCCAAGATGTCAAGGACTTTGAGGCCAACTTGAAGGTCCCCAAGTATGTCGAGACTTTCCCAACTCAGATCCACGGCTGGATGGCTGCGCGATCGGACCTGGAAAACGCCGAGGTGCGCAAGGAGTATGAGCGCGGATACAAGACCGTTCTCGAATTCCTCCACCAGCACTCGTAAACGAAACAAAAAGGGCACAATTGACGGGGAGTCCCTTAACGCGGAGTTTTGATGGTACTATGAGAACTAGGTTTCCTAATGAGAGAACGAGAGAAATGATGTATCAGTCCTACATGGATAAACCCCCAAAAAATCCTCCTATGTACACATAAAGTTATTCTAGCTTGATCCACCTGTAAGGTTCTTTATGTCGTTTTTGCTTGGGGTCAGATACCGAGAAGTATATACGTATGTAAACATCTCTTTGTCCTTTGAAAATATGTACTTTGTAGGGGGATGGTATGATGCTCGCTCGCTCGCCGCTCCTGCCCGCAAGACGTCATCACTTTTCAAATTTCAGCTTTACCTCCCTAACCTCCTCCAGATGTCGTTCATTTACTTCTTTATTCCTACAATTTGATTCAGGAATTTATTAATCCATAACATCATCTGTTTACGGAAAAAGCTCGGTGTTACACCCACTTGCCGCATTGCCGCTTCTAGGGTCATCCTACGAGCCGAGGAGCCGAGATCAGCACTCCGCATATAGTTCTTATTTCATACTTCATACTTCTTACTTCATACTTCATACTTCTTACTTCTTACTTCTTACTTCTTATTTTTTTATGATTTCCCAAGGCATTGAATTTAATTAGAAGATGCAATAATTGCATCTGCACGGGCTCTGATGTCTTTCCTATTTGGCCGACGCCGTTCCTCAGACGCAGGCGCAACTTCTATTACTCACGATGAATTCAATACACTCAAACGATCATCATCGCATCGTCATGTTCCCAGCGATCACCAAGATGAACATACCGACAACGGGAGCCTCCGAAGGCTATTCCGAAGGCACAGCAGTAGTTCGGATTCTCCAACCACAACACAAGTAAGAATATCTAACTATCTTGTCGTTATAGCAGCTAGCTCACGGCGAAAAAGGAAAAAGAACAGCCACCTTCAACGGAGACGATTCCGCTGCTCAAATCACGAAGAGGGAGTGAGGGCCGACGAGATGATGGCAAAGATCTCCGTGGCTCCCCTAAGCGCGACTCGCTCGCAGCAGGGGAATACTCTGAGCCAGCACAATCTGGAAATATCTATGATTTTCTCGATTACAGATTAAAAATGGCGAGCAAGCCAAAAGAAAATTCGCTAGAAGAATCAAACCTCACAACAAAAGACATTAAAGCAATGTTGTCTGGGGCACCTCACTTCCTCCTGGAGAAAGGCAAGCATGGTCGATGGTATCCCCAGGTGATCTTCCCCTGGGATGAGCAGAACGCGGTAATCCAACATATGTGGGATCGCAAGCCGTTGCCCCATGCGTCCTTTACTTTGAGCACACTTCATGCTCATCTACCGCTTCCAGATGACTGGGCCGTGAAAGGCGGTGTTCCGACTGGAGTCCTCGACTGGCGCCGAACAGGCGCTAGCCACAGGGCAACGTTCGACGTCGGGATCTTCGAAGTATCCAACATGCTGTCCAATAACGGCAAAGAACCGGGCACTGTCGGTTTCCGGCACTTTCTTGAATTACCTGTGGCTGACGCGATCCGATACACCGGCCCCGAAACCCCAAGGAAACCTCCGTATTTACAACAAGTCTCAACCATGGCGGCAACGGAGGCGTTCCATTTAATGGAGGGATATGATAAGCCGTATTCACAATGCCAAAGTGGTGCCGTGTATGATCGGCATAAACTCATCTGCGAAGGCCCCGAAGCCTGGAAGCGCATTGGAGTACGAGATATCAACCTGCGATCTCTGGTGCAACGATTAGAGCATCTGCGCAAGTTCCGACATGAGATGCTCACAGAGGGATCAAAGAAGACAATTCTGGATATGGAAAGTCCGCGTGAGTTGCACGACATTTTACACACGCAATTCCTTTACCCTCGCCCTCCACCTACCGATATCATAGAGGGTCATCCACAAAGCGTCAAATCCCAAATCAAAACTTTGGCAATCGTGCTGGCCACCCCCGGAGCATGGATCAATTTCAGTCTCCCCGAATGGCGCTTCCGAGCAGGGCAGGTCCTATGGGAGGCGTCATTGCATGGCGATGGGGACTGTCTAGACCCTAATTCAAGCAATGAGAAAGTGCCGTGGGATGTTTTGACCAAGTCCGGGATGGAGCGAAAGTGGTTGCTGATCCAGCTGCTCCTCTCTGCTGAGTTGCTGCTTCGCTTGGATGCCTTCGTTCGAGTTGGCATGTTGTATGATCCGCACGGTGGTCATATCACGATACATGAGCTTGTACAATTCGAGAAATTGCGAGAAGGCAAGCTGAACTGGGATCTGGTTGTTGTGCGTCGGTTCCTCAACAGCCTTGATATCACTTGCCCGTCGCCACAATCAGGGCCATCTCCGGGTGGCTCACAATCAACCCCCATAACCACCAAGTCGCATGAGAAAAGCCATCGTTTTTCGCTGCTTGAAAGCATCACTCGGCGTAGCTCGCCCCCTGTTGCGGATCTACAGTCTGCCTGGGACTGCGAACTGAGCTCCTCGCACGTTCGACAGCAGCTGGAGGGTCTGTATGTCTTTGCAGAAAACATTGGATGGCCAAAATTGGCTGCACTGAGAGCAACCATGGAGCTCAAACTTGGAGACCCTAGCAATCCAGTTCTACCAGCCTTAGTCGTCGATGACAAGTGGGGACAGGAAAAAATAGCCAAGGAGATGTTACTGGCCAAGGAGGACATGTACACACGAAATCCCTGCCGGCGACGCGTCAAGCTTTGTAGCTCTGGCGATCCACAGTCTAAAAATTTAGGCTGGATCTCACGCTCCTTGCTCTCCGGGTTCGTGATACCCGGAGAGGCGATTAGTCACCTTCTCATGGCGACACTGCTTGAGAACGACGCGGATGCACCGGATCAACTGGGCTCAATTGCCAACCTCTATGGAGGATTCGTCTATAGCGAACGGAGTTGGTGGAGTAAAGCATGCGTGGTCGGACGTGTCTTATCTAGTTCAAAGGGAGCTAAGACGTGCATGGGGTGGATCAGCAGCGACATGGTGCCCCGCGACGCGATTACGCAAGAACTATTCAAGTGTGGATGGCTTGAACTCCCCGTTGAAGAGGTTCCACAGATCTCGAGAAGGCCTCGAATCAAGCAGGGAGCCAAGCTCATGGTGGAATCGACACCGTTAGGCATGGGAGATATCACAGCAGAGGCCTTTACGCTTCCAGCGGAGAATCCGGAGCCAAGTGCAACACCCAGTGTCAATATCGAAGGGTTGACTCTGTCTATCAATGATTACAGGCCTCCCAATAGCAACGGCATCACACCTGCTGAGGCATCCGTGTCGTTCTCAATCAAAGACGCAGATGCTGGGGTTTCAACTACGGTTTGTTTCCCTCTCAAGTATAATGTGCGTTTTATATCTGCCCATGAGTGCTGTCCGCCGATGGGGGTCGTCTCGCACAAATCATCCGACCGTGAGGAAAATGAGAACCGGCAGCCTACGAGACCCATGTCCAAGTACACACGTCTACCAGGCCACCCTTTGCACAGCTCTTATCGATACAAGTATATTTCGTTGGACTCCCTTTCCTCTACCCCGGCACCGCAACCGACATCGTCACAAGACCCGGAGATTATTGTCATCGATGCGCGGGGTAACCGAGACAGGGAAACATTCGCTAGGGCGTGGTGTGCTGCTGTTGGGTGTCATGCAATTATAAGTCGATTCGGAGGAACTCGTGTGACATGTTGTGTCGCATGTTCAGTAAGGCAAGCGAGAGCCATTGATGTAATGGTGGTGGTACGTGTAAGCGAATGAATAGTATTGGGTCCCGCGTGCTGCTATTTCTGGAGGCCGAGTTCGGGGGTTGAATCAAGTAAATGAGTCCGAAATACGAAACGGCCATAATCGCGCAAACCGGGGCATTTTCATGAATCATGATTGAGTGCAATATACTCGGTAGGAACAAGTCTGCGGGTATTGGCCCCTTTTTGGGACTGGAAAAAAAGCCTTTGGTGGCTTCAACGGCTTTTCTCCGAAGAAGCCGCGGGGGAGGGAGAAATCCAAGCCTCTCAAGACGGGGGGGGAAAGCCCTCACTATCGAAGAACGCCAGCTAGAAAATACAACATAGTTAATACCACCTTCCTCTTCTCCTTCAGCTGAAAACAAATTTAAAATAAATAAAAATAAAATAAAAACGCAAATCATGATAGGGGCAAAATGGAGAGAGGAATGGGTTTTTTTTTTCTTGGGAGGACGCGTAAGGCAGGTTGCAGGTTAAAAAGGGTGACCCTCCCCCTTGAGGGAACCGATGACCGAATGGAGTCAAGGGCCCCGAGGATGGTGAAACAACCGGACCAAAGCTGAGAGACCAGTAAAGTCCCTGCATTTCTGGTCCACAGGGAGATCTCCGATCTCATACAATTTAGGGTACTCCGTCTACTCCGTACGGAGTTCTGTTACTATATATATTGTACTCTGGAGGGGAAGTATATTCCTGGATTGGAGGTATAACCCTAATTATATTATATTGCTTGGACTATATTCTATCCTCGAATGGATGGCTATTCCTCCCATACGTATTAGATCATGTCATCCTCATAATCATGCACATGGACTCTCTTGGGTAAATTAAGGCTTAGCGAAGGGAGTTGTAGGGCATACGTTGTACGGAGTAGATATTCCAAAATAGCACCAACCCCGAAAGTATGCCACGCGACAAACCACCTAGTAAAAAAAGAAAGAAAAAGAAAAGAAACCATCGGATAAGCAGTTTCCCAAAGAATGATCATCAGAGCATGCCTCATACCTCATAGGGTATACCTGCACGCCACTGCGGAGCCCGGCAGTTGGGGTTTGGCAGGGGCTTTGACTACTAATCCTAGAAGGGAATAGTTAGGGGCATTTCTGGAATTACAATGAAACTACGGAGTACAATATTTAGTATGTACGTAAGTAGACTAGTATAAACGTGGTTAAGCGACATCTTAGAATGTAAAGATTATTCTATGTTGTACTATCTACCCACCCTGAGTGTATTCTTGGCTAAGATTAACAAGATCTAGCTCAGCCCTGGACTCCTGGACCCTTGTTTCAGTTTAAACAATTGGCCGATCGACAACGACGCGACGCCCGTTGGGGCTTTACCTAATTGTTCAAACCTTCCAAGGTGGGAACGCGATTACGGACCGCGGACCGTTCTGCTATGTTGTACAATATACGTAGTATACATAGTATACAGAGAGTACTCTATGTAGATTTATGTTGGAATTATACATACACCCTGTACGGAGTACATGCGTACATATATTGATTCTATGATTGAGTCGCTTAGCTCACACCACGAGACCTATCGCATTTAACATTCGCCGCGTCACGATACATATGTTGATTGTTCAGCTACACATAAATTCCAACTCCAAAGACTCTCTGTTGTGAGACCCAATAACATCGGCTCTTGTGCATTTCTCAACACCCGTGCTCGTCGATCTTCGACCAGTGTGTGTTAAATTGCGGGGCCAGAGCGTGGGCAGTATGTACAATGCGTCGTTTTGCTTCGCAAAATGGCGGTGGAACCATCCCCTCAGGCTTAAAAGCTCAAGATACAGCATATGTATATATATATATTGTATATTATACATTAGACTCTCCTGGTAGGTTGTATACAGCACGTTGTAAGGTGGCTGGGAGAGCACGAGAGAGAAGGAAGTACGGTGATCGGTGGCGTTTATTGGCCTTGAGGGGTTTTGTTGACGTGATACACCATACAACAGTATGAAGATCATCGTCCACTCCAGTCCACTTACTTCGTACCAGAACAGTATTCTCCAAGCCACGCCAGGTTTGACACGTTTTCCTTTTCGGCTTAACCGGTGGGAGTCGGTAATAGCCACCCCCTTTTTCTCTCTCTCTCTCTCTCCCCCTCTCATTGGAACAGGCAGGTTATACTTTATACGGAGTAGAATAAGCAACAATTTCCCCGTGATTTCTCCATTCAATAGAACCTTCCATTCCATTATTCTCCATGGAAGCTGAGACAGAAGGAAAAACCCCGAGATGAGCCCCATACGAATGCCAAGACCAACCTGTAACACGCTACCACAGTCAAGTTGATCCTTAATTAAACCTTGACCTGCCCCACGCAGAGTTTGTGAGATCGCTTGCATTTTCGCAGTATGTTACCCTATGCTGGACTCCGTATAATTATATAATTATTATATATTATTATTTGCACTCCGTACGGAGTACACAGTGGTCTTTTTTTAAGGCTTTCGGACTGTTATCCTACTTGGGTGTAGTTCAGGGCTGTGTAGATGCAGACTGATGCCTACCGATTGGTCTTCAAGTACAATGCGAATATTTTATTGGAATATACAAGATAATCAAATCCTGAGGGCCACGTACGTGTTTCTGGAAATTGTCCCCAGATACGCCATCATAAACGTTGAAACAGTGAGATTGTCCTATGAGCATTGGATGTATAATTAGCGAGAGATTTCTCATCCAAGGTACATTGTGGTTGGATCCATAGAAGAAAGGTCCGTGATCACTGATTGGTCCACTATTCCCATGGATCTTTTTGACGGGTTTCTTCTTTTTTCCTTCTTTTTTTCCGGATAAAAGTGGCAGCCCAAATAAGGATCAAAGCTACCAGAAAAAGGGGCAAAACCAAAAACCAAAAACCACCTATTAATTTCTTTTTTCAGAGAAATAAACGTTATATTAAACAAACTAAAAAGGGAAAACAAATAGGATTTAAAACAATAAAATAACTTGATACATTGGCCGTGGACCCTGAATCTGTTTTTAGCACAATTTACCCGATGGTTCGTTTCAGCTCATATAATGTCACGAAGTAAGAAATTGGGTAGTGGAATTTCTAGTCTTCTAGAAAGCCATGTGGTCAATATTCCTTAGATCGAACTGCGCAGCTCTCCTTCGAGAAGCCCTCTAGCTTTATAAGGATCAACCTCTAAAATGACCAGAGGCAGAAGGTTCTTCTTGATGGACCCTCAAATCAACAAGCCTATTGGTTCTGGGTGCCGACCTAAGCTCGCGTCACCAATCACTTATTTGGGACTTGAAGGAAATATTCCCCAGTTCATCGATGATTGACAGGTATCCTTGTTGGCCCTAAGCCTAACTGGTATTGTACACTTCGAGCGGCCACCCCCCAACATCCACACATCCCCACTGTTGTCAGGGCTCCCAGACCATGGTTCCTCGTTTCTACCTCATTTGAAGAACCGGGTCTATAGTACGCAATCAGGGGCATTGTCAAGTTACCTAATCAACCGAGGACCAATGCGACGGTGACAGGATTTAAAAAAAGGGAATTACATAGGCCCAAAAAAGAGATGACAGGGAAAAATGGAAAAAAAAGGAAAACCTTGTAGAAAACAAGAAATACTCTTCATCCAAGCGCCAGTAAAGTCTGCGATACGCTACGTAGTAAATCTAGAGCATTAAGGGAAGTTGTCCGCGGACCCCTGAAGTGATCATCCATTGACAATGACCTGCAGTTGATTTGGGCTAAGTCGATACATCCGTGTTAGTCTTAGTTGGTATGAGAGCCACCTTGTTCCACGTACGGCGTGATATACATACTTGTGAAAATTAAATTAAATCAAAAATCTCTAAAAAAAAAAAAAACTCTCTCTAAAATAAAAAAATAAAAAAACAAAAGACCTTTGGGCGTTTCACCCCGCGATTAGCTTCTACCTGTTGGACTATACCTACCACTTCGATCTGCTCTTCTTCTCTTCACACCGTTCACTTCATATTCGCTCCTTTGAATACCTTATTTTTCTTTTCTTTTTTCCCTTCTTCCTTTTCTTACTAATCTCTTTTTGGTTATTATCGTTTGACTTGTCCCCCTAGTGTGGTTTCTTCCTCGATCTCAAACTGGGCCACAATAAACTTCTAGGCCCTAACCCCGTCCAAATCCCCGGCATTCCACGAATACTTTACTATAATTATCATTGATTAATTCGCAATTACTGGACTTGGGAATTTGGGGACTCTGAATCTGGAATCCAATCTATCCTCGACCATTCTATTGCAAGATTACCTCTATACTTTGAGACACGGCGGGCCCTAACATACCCCCGATATTCTCGATCTGAAACGCGCGCAATATCATACCTGGTCCAGCGTGGCGCATGTGGACCAGAACTCGGGAATTGAAGCAGCGTCATTCTCTGGAGGTAATCCTCAGTCATATTCTCTTCGCGGTGTCTGTATGGCCTTGCGCGGATTCCTATCGCATTCACCTTTGATTACGCCTCGAGGTACTCTCACCCAGCTGCTCCACAAAGCACGCCTTTCGCTTCGCCGGGGCCTTTGATGCACCTTCGACCGATATCGTGATAAAACCGTGCTCGTGGGAGCTATGCCCATAGCTGTCGACCATATGGCATCAACAGCAAATTCACAAAGCGCCATGGACGCAAATGACAAGAAGCGCAACAAGTTAGGATATCATCGAACCTCTGTCGCATGCGGTCAGTAATACATCCCAAGCACTCATCGCCCTTTTTTGCTTGTCGCCTTTCTCTGTCCGTCGTTTTCGCAGTGCGAAGTGTGTCGATCAGGAGGAAATAGACAAATTTTGCTTTCGAGAATGGTGTATTCGCATCCGGCCATGTTACTTATACATTTACAGTGCACTGTCGACGACGAAAGATCCGATGTCTTGTAGCGCCAGATGATACGGAAGGACGATGTGAAAACTGCATTCGATTGCGAAAGGACTGTCAGTTTTTTCCAGTGGACCAGCAACCACCGATTGAAAAGAAATCACGACCAAATTCGAGAT